TCGACGATTAACGTTCGATAATTGAATGCATTGGAAATTGTTGGCTTGAAGTTCGGTTGCGGAAAGTTTTAAGGATGAAAGTGTAGGTAAACTTACGTAGGAAGTGGATTCAAGTGCACGTTGTATGGTGTATTTGTTTGGAAAACAGCGGATGGAGTTTGCTGGAATTGGAATGAATTATAGATTGTTTCTGAGTGGAACGAAGAAAAATTCACTTAAGGGGATTTTTATTATTACGAGTATTCGTAGGAAATTTTATCACTGCGATCGTTTTCGTATTGAGCTCATTATGCTTGGAAAATTGATTTGACAGTGGGTGTGTTAATTTAATCGACGATGGCAAATATAATTATCACAGTGAAACTAGATTGAATAGAAGAATAATTATGTTTGATTTATTAAGAAATTCTGGTAAAAGTACACATGGACAAATTGAAGTTTCTTGTTGGAAATTCATTTTGCCGCAACAAGTGTTCCGGCATTACGCTATAACTACCTTGTAAAGCGGTTTTTTTCCAATTTTTATAACGTTGCAACGCGGATGGCATTCTGGCCGAAACAATGCGCCTTAATTCACTCTTTAAACTCGCTCAGTGACACACAAAAGAACGCGAACACGCTTTGTTCTTGGAGGAACACTAGTAGAAAGAATCAAGCGGATTAAGTGGAGACAAAAGAGACGGTCAAGATACAAAATTGCCCGGCAAACCACTTTTCTCGATAATTTTTCTCATCCTTTTAAAGAAAACTGGAACGTTCGCCACATCAACACACATTTTATATTATTTCCCTTAGTAATATTCAAACGCTTTCAATTACACAATGCGTTCTCGTCGTTCTACTGAAAAACAGTAGAAAAGACAATTTGTTTCTTTGTTGCACTCAGAGAAAAAGCATTTCATTGAACCCTTTCGTTACTATTGGCGCCATTTGCCGCACTTCCGTCTTAATTCAAGCCTTAATTTTATCCTTTGCACACTTCCACCTAAAATCAAAAGTTATGCTCTAAAATCTGTCGCAGTGAGAGGGTTAAGAACCACCCAGAAGTGTCTAAAAATAGACAAACTTTGGGGCACCTTGAAATTAAAAAATACCAAGTACAAATATCAGAAACGATTACAAACTCGATAATACGAAATAAACTGGAATTTTCGATAACCAAACACAAGGAAGCTATTACCATCGGAATACGTTTCACCAGCAGCAATCCCAGCCACGAAATAATTTACTCCAAGGTACGAATTTCTAAACGGAAATCGCAAACACTTTCGCACAACGTTCACACTTTCCCGTCTAATATATTAAACCGTACAATCGACAGTTGTCACACACGGTTAAATGAATTTCGCTGGAAAATATGGCGTGTGACGGAGAAAGCTCGGGTCGAAAATTACGCGGACCTTTAAAGCGTGAAATTCGTCCGGGAGGCGAAAGCCGTGGCGTCGATAAAGCGGCCGGGGCCTCTCGATGTAGCAGAAGCGTGAAGGGTTAATGAATGGATATTCAGGCGAATCCGTGCTAACCACGGGCCGTCACGTCGGTGTCCATGGGTAAAGGGGAAACGAATCGTGAGTGGTCGCGTCATAAATCGTCATCGACGCGGCGATTGATCGATACTGCGCTCGGTACCGTGTCAAAATTACAGCAAGATAACAAATTAATTTTCCGATCGCTCGGTGAACGCGCGCGCAACGAGTAGAGTACATGTTTTCGGTATTTTAATACTTCAACGATCGATTTTATTCGTCTATAACCCTATTCGATGACCAATAGTCACCTGTCACCGTGAACCATGAGGCTCGACGAGGCTCAAAGTGTTTGACAGTTACCCGCCGTTCGACGTTCGTACGCTCGTTAAGTTTGAACGACGTTGTTAACCGGAAACGCGTTTCGAAAAATGAAAATGTCACTTTTTTCCTTCCTATGTCATGACTTTGTCAGACGAACGGGAACAGCCTGCAAATTGACAGATTTAAGTTAGCTCGTTAAACTTCGGACGCCGGTGGCTGGGTCACCTTTGACCCAGCTCTTAAATGTCTCCGCTGTTTATATTATAAATATGTTTGTTATTTAAATCACAATATATTCGTACAATTTCAAACAGCACAATGCCTAGTAAAGTAACAAAATGAGACAGATTGTAAGCATTGGGTCATATTTGACCCAGCATCGGTCACATTCGTCAAGGGTTAAGTATACGACATTGAAACTTTTAAGTGATCGACGCTACTCCGTCACGCCGAAAGGAGTAAGAGAATTCGTTCGATTTTCGTTCAACGACGCTGCAACGATGATCCACGAGTGAATCAGCACGGCAAGGTAGGTGGAATGGTTTAAGTGTAGCGTGAAGCAGCTAGAAAGCAGCCTGTTCCCCTGCTTTTTGCGGCTAGCCTTCGACGCGTTCCTCGGAACCGCTTGGCCGGCAATTCCGCCCGCTCAGATTGAAATGAAGCAAACGCGACAATAGCTGTCTCGATGACCGGATCTCATTCTGCAGCCAGTATTCCCAGTTTGTCCGTTTGGTCCTGTTTGCTCGTCGCTGCGCGCGGCACACAGTTGACATTCGGCCGACAATAGCCGGCCGATAGCCGGTGAACGAATTTTTCGGACGACAGACAGGGCCGATCTCAATTACGCACGCGTATCTTCCGACTCGCGCGAGAGAGCCATAGAACCGAACTTCGTTACCTGTGATTCATATTTTGTGGAGCTTTCGGCGAGGACGAAGTGTAGTTTGAAAAATGGATCGAAAGAACGAGACTTTGCTCGCGAGGAAATGAAGTGTCCTCGCAAAGAAAGTTGGGCAAGTTGAAAATTCAAGGAAAATTTGAAACTTTGTGAAAATGTATAATAGTTCAACTGAAGCTGGTTGCGAAACAATTTTTTGTTTTAGCAGGAAACGATAGTCGATGAAATTGTGAGCTTTCGTATTATCGTGGACATTTACGAAATTGTACAAGATATGGGAGAAATGTTAAATTCAAGATTGTGTCTCTTTTGATTGAAGATTTACTCCCAACACACTTTTCGATGGAAAATTGACACCCGCCAGTTTTTTTTTAATGGAAAATTTTCCCTTGCCAGTCGTTTTAATTGAAAATTTACCTGCACAACTCTTTTTTTCGAAAATTCTTTACTGCTACAATGTAGAACGTCAAAAATCGCACAGCTCTGAATTTAACTCCTTCGCCCTGTTTTCAACCCCTTGTAATCGAATCGCACTCATGACTCAAACTACGACTGAATTACGACAATAACCATGTGTCGGTTAATAAACATAAATTTCATTCCAGCTACAGTTCTAATTCGCAGAACCAATAATTTTCGAATGCGAATTATGCGTAACATTTCCAAGCACTTTGCACGAGACAGTATTAAAACAATTCACAATTACCATTAACACACCAAATTATTGAAAAATCGTCGGGAAAGGGTTGAAACATTCTCTTCGAAGTAAATGTTCACGATAATTTTGATAAATAATTCCAAATTACCTTCGACAATCTGATTTTTACCAAAAAAAACAATTTCACGATAAACATATTCTTCAACAACTCGACTTAATCGTAAAAATTATTAAGTACTGGAGAAACGGAATTAAACAGCTCCGAAGATAAGCGACTGATTAACCTTGAATTTCCATATCGTATATTTTGCATTTTAGAAGAAATAAACTGGCTGCAGTTTGAAGAAAATTTCGGCGAAGCCCAGAGGTTGTTCAGTGCAAATATTGCGTAACATGTTTGCAGAAGATATATCGACGAATGGAAACATAAACTCCTCGAGTGTTTCCCGCGTAGAAACTATTGATCGCGTTTAGTGTCGTCTGAAATTGAATAGGGAAGTACCTTGGAAGCCTGGAAGGTAATAATAGCGGGCTGCGTTACACGCGCTTTATTTATTTCCAACAGGACGAACGCTTGAAATGTTAGATTTTCGATATCTCTGTTTGAAAGCTTGCAGGCGTTGGATAGACGCATAATTCGCTGCGATGAAATTGTTAAATTTACGGTTCAAAGATCTTCTCGACGTTTTCTTTCGCACTGAATCACCTCAAGGGTTTTAATTCTTTGCACTCCAAGAATAATCGTAAATAAGTATTACGAGTTATTGAAGATAGTTGGGTAATTGGACGAAAATTCGGTGGAATAGGTTTATTGTTTTATTAGGTAAATTTCATATTTAACAATTTGTGTTATTTTTGAAGTAAAGAACGATTCTATTTTCAGGAAAGGTTCATTTTAAAGCAATTATTACCACTTTGTCATAAGTAAATTACCTTTCAAAATATCGACTCATTTTTCTTTTTTAGCAAATAATTGTTCACTTGTAATTTTTACCAACACGTTAAAATTTTCATAGCAGCTCACGAAAATCAGAAAACAAATCCAACGTACGTTTCTAACAATTTCAATTTGCAAGAATCAAATGAAAGGTTAATACAGTGATTCTCGCTAATATTTAGACACTACGTATTTAGAACATTGTAACTTTTTTAAAAATGGACCAAATAACTTGAGTTTCGTTTGTGAAGTTAAAGGAATTAGTATACTAGATGACGTGTACAAACAAATTTGTGGAAATCGCGGAGAAAATTGTAAAGGTGGTCACTTTTTGAAACTTTCAACGTACACGTAATCAAAATGAGCCTAGAAATTTCTAAATTTCACTACCAGCTCAAATAAAAATAGTTGTAAAATGTGACCTTTACAATTTTCTTCGCAACTTCCACAAATTGCAATTTTTTCCACACGTCGTCCACTGTACCAATCCTTGCAACTTCTAAAAAACAAAAAAAAAAAAAAACTCAAATCATTCAGTCCAATTAAAAAACAAATCACACTCTTCTAAACAGCGTCGAAATATCAGCGAGAGCAAAACTCGATCTCAAACATCCTAACGCGAAGAGAATCTTCGAAGGACGAACGAACGTGAATTGGAGTGCAAAGAGTGTGGATCTCGAGCATAAGTAGCCGCCCGCCGGTTGTCTTTTGTTTTAGTTGGTTTCTCCTATGTTTGCCCGAGTTTCGGCTTTGCATGGCACGTTGCATCATCATCATCATCATCACCATTCGGTCCCGAGCTCGCCGTATCCCTCGCGGCCACCTAGCAGAACGACATCGCTCTGCGACGCTAGTTCCGGCTACGAATCGACCAGGAGCCATCTAGGTCCGCACTATAGCGATTACAACGTGCCCAGGAATAACTCGCCCGTGCTCAAGTACAACAGCTTGAAGCCACGCCGGAGGAAGGACAAACGTTCTCAATTCTATTCGCTGAGGTTGTGTCGAAGGCACGAGAACATGCAGAGGAAGTATCAGCTTTACGCTATACCGATATACAAGTGTCCTCATAAGAACGGTAGTACGAGTACGATCGCGACGATCGTCAGATCCGACACACCGTCGTTATCCACGAATCCGTGTCAGAACCGTACGAGTACAGATCAAACAAGCGAAAATCAAACGAGTCAGAGTCATTCGACGACGGAGAATCATTTGTGCGAGTCAACGTCGACGAACACGCCACCAATCCCGGCGCCGAGAAAATACAAGAAGACCGACCCATCGAAGCACACCTACCAAAACGTTCCCACTCCCGTTTTTCCACCGAAAAACGCTTCGTTACCTAGGACTAAGGTTTGTCGACTACTCGTGTTCCTACGTACATTAAGGTAACCCGCATTCGAGCGGCTCGAGAGAGAAGAACGTTGCTGCCGCCTCCAAGAAATCGCTCGTTTCTTGCCCACGCTGGTGAAACGAGACGACCGGGATTGATAGTTGTTCGGTGATAGAACGATGGGATGAATCGTTCGTTCTTGTGTTCTTCCTACGCGTGCTTTTTACACGGTGTTCGGGGAACTGATAAGGGGAACACGGGAGATATTTCGGAATCGTTTGCATTTTTCATGAGAAACGGGGGGTTGGCGGGGATCTGTTAGCTGAGTAAGTGGATCAATTTGATATCGCAGGGTGTAGCGAACGAATTGAGGATTTTAATTGAAAACTTTTCCTTTGTTTCGACGTTATTTTCTACTCTGTGACGTTGTCGACGTAACTCGATCATTTTCTTTCCAACCCTTTCACGGTCTGATAAAATTACGAATTACGGTCAAAGAAATTTAGATTTTACACGTATCTTCTTGATAGTTACGCCGTGTGTGATCATTTTTCAAACTAGGGATACATAACCCTACGTCATAGTTGCGATAATATCTCCTCCGTTTCTAACCTTCTTCCTAAGAGTCTCTGTTGAGTTAGTACTTGGATTTTTGACGCTCTGCCCGAGTCTCGCACGGGATAAACTGACTTTCTTTTTAAAAATCAGTACTCAAACCGGTTGCTACCAACAAACATAACTGATTCATTCGCACACATTTTCACCGCAATTAGCAATATAAATCGGAACTTTCTGAACGAGCTGGCAGCATTTCCAAACGAACCCTCCAACAAGATAAATTTCCCAATCCCTCCACATTCCACGAAAGATCTCCAATCAACGCAGAACAGAACGAACCTTAATTACCGATGCCAAGCACTCGTTCGAACATTCAACGATCCACCGTACAATTGTTCGGAATCTTTCTAGCGATCGCATTCCCCGCGAAACTCTTCGAGTTCTCTCAGCTCGCGATCCGCGTGAACAAACGCAACAGGATGGCGTAAATTTCGCAACAAGAGAGCCTCGTGTAATTAGCTTGGCTGTGCTTGGCTCGACTATTTTCTTAAATTACCCACTATTCAATCCCTGTAATCTTGCTTGCTGCAACGCGCGGCAAGAGACGAAGAGAGGAGATTGAACGAGGGTGGCTGAGGCGGCAGCAACGAAGGTCGAGCAGCGAGATAGACAAAGTAAATCCTGTCCTTTAAGCACCAGTTTCTAATAATTAGCAACGCACCTACTGCATGAGTACGATTTACGTGTCCGCAATAGATATAAAACAGCAGCTTCGAGCAAATAGGAGGTAGAGTTGCTGGAGTTGCCGAGTTATAATCGGAAATCATATTTTCCCTGCTAAGCTGGATCTGGCCACCTATGTAGCGACCGTCCTTGTGTATGTCGGCCGCGAACCAAGTAAGTTTCTACACTCCACAACAAATATACCGACACGCATACACCTCATATGTATACACACACGCACACACCAATACCACCACGTTGCTTACCGCGAAGCTTTTCAACCTCGTCCATAAAAGGAGGTAAAATATTATTTCGAAGCCTTTTAAAGACACGGCCGCGTGATGTTTTTCTTTTCTTTCTTTTTCTTTACGCTCTCTTCTTTCTTTTCTTAACGAAAAGCCCCCTCTTTCAACGAGACCCGGCATTGTCTTGGAGAGATTGTAAAGAGATATTTGCCGGGGTCGTAGGCAAAGAAGAGAAACGCGGAGATACCGATGCTTCGGCTGGCAAAGTCGGTTATCGTGCACGAAGGAACATTTCTTTTTCGAGACGGAGACGCGAGCTTTAAACGATCCACCTTTTAACGAGCACCGCGACCGAGAGGAATACGATAACGACATTTGGCTCATTCTCGGGATTACTCTGTGCATGCCTAGATTTACATTTCGCGTTTGTTGAGAAGGAGGAGAATCGATTTGCACCGGTTGTGTATTTCTCTGATGAAAGTTGGGAGGACGGAATTGTCGGTGGACTGTTAAATAGAGCAATTGTTGGAATTTTTTGAAGGAATTTCTTCGATTGGAAGATAATATTATACCTGAGACAGATTTTTGCGTTTATTTTACGCTTGTTGCTTTGAAGAGGGATAAAATACGATTGACTTTAGTTTTCGATAGTCTTAACGAGTTCACTTACGCATCAGTCATACGTAGCTGACGTGTCTTCCTATGGCACCGTGCTAAAGCTGCTCGAAAATCAACACTGTTACTCATGTGCGACTGTCGCGTTGTTGGCTTTGTAAGGGTGATAACGTGCGAAATAAACAGTAATGGCGTGAAAAAAGTTGTCTATGGATATTGGCAATTTTATTCTAAATGCTTCGTCGAAACTTGCGAAAAAATGTTCCATATGGAACAAAATAATGAAAAAACCTACAAAGATTCTCAGCGACACTTAGCTCTATTAGCTTAGTCCACGACGTCGTCTCTCCCCGCAATCTCCCAGTTAAATTACCTCGGTACCTCAGCATTCAACGCGTTTTCGTCTCGTCCAAGGATCGTCAGAACCCCGAGCCAGGAGATCCTAGTTCTCGTCGCGTCAATTTCAATCTCTCGATCGTCGAAGGGAAGCCAATCCGTCGATCGACGAACGGAGCCAAACCGATCGCTTCCGCCGCGTTGTTCGACGCGGCCGGGCCCGTCGAAAGACGAAATAACATTTCGCCTCCAGGCTCGATATCGCGATAACCGTTCACTAACGACACCTCCCCCGGCGGCCGTATCCCCAGCGACTAACCGTGCCTGTTGCAGACCGACAGCCTATACAACTACAAAGAACACTACCAGCAACAGCACCGGCAGGAGATGCAGCAGTACAGCTACCCGTTACCGAGCAACAGTTCCAGCCAACTAACACTGCCACTAACGCGCAGCCTGTACCACTCCTCGATAGTTAGCCCCTTGCAGACCTCGTTCGTTCACGCAAACAGCCGTCCGCCGGCGTTGACGCAACACGAGAACCACCTGTCTGTGGTAGCAGCGGCGGCGGCGGCTTCGTTGCATCCGGACGACGAGCATCAGAACTACACGAACCACGACGCCACGAGGCAACCGCGTCGCCACGGTGCCCGTTCGAGCGACCGTGGCCAAAAGTACCGGAAGCACAAACGCGGCGAACGGAAACAGAAACAGAGGCGGCCGGATCAAACGAGGAGGACAGACGCGTACGCGAGCGCGCCCTCCTGCGAGACCAGCTTCCATCAGGTACAGGAGCTCGGTATACCCGAGACGTACAAAATCTCCTATCCGCATTATTACGAGGACGACATCGCGGAGTGTCCCACCGACTATCACAGGTCGAACCCTAGCTCCCGTTCCCAGCAGATATGGGAACGGCAGTCGTCGAATCGTTGCCCCGCCGAGAGCACGCATTACGCGGACCCCGGGGACGCGAAGAACCGGAACAAATCGAAGAGATTGTCGTCGAATCTGGGTGACGGACGCTCGCCGTCCGCGCCGACGATAATGCAATACGCCGAGCTACACTTCCGGGACGTCGGTCAGGAGATCGATGTCTAAAAGGTCAGTCGAAAGGTGGTAGATCGGGTGGAGGAGGAACTTCTTGTTTTTTTTTTTTTTTTTGTTCAAGATTCACGCTGGAGGTTGGTACGTGATTTTTTAAGGGTGATGGAAGATTCAGGTTGGCAGGGGGTCGAAGGTTTTTCAGGCTTTCAACGAATAGGTTGGACTGCGGATTTTTATGCATTTAGAGGAAATTTGACCCTTTGACTGCGGCGCACTCTCGCACAGAACCATCAATACAGACGGCAAGAGTTATGTGCTCATTGACCAAAATAAAAAAATAAAATAAGGTGTTACAGTAAGAAAATTGTAGAGGCGCATATTTACGTCTTTCGTATATTTTGATAAATCTGTGAGAGGGTGTATATACGCATTTCGTAGGCAAAGGGTTAAAAGTACAGTAGGACCCCCTATAAGGAGGGAAATACAAATTGAGTTTCATCGATACCGATTTTTGGGTGCTAGTAGAGTTTCTTCATCGGTTGAATTTTCTTCATTTGTTTGTTCTTTTTTTCTGTTTCGCTTCTGTTTCATTTTTTGATCGCGTTATATGGAGCCCTACTGTACAACTTGGCATAGAATGCGGGTAATATGAAGAGCTATACGAAATATCTAAATTACAGTGCTTTTTATAATACCTGGTGGGTGAAATAATTTTTCTATCGAAGATCTACTATCTTTTTACTGTATCCTCAAAAATATAAATTTGCATAAAAATTTGCAGTCTAATTATCGAGGCTTTCGGGTGTAAACTTTGTCCTTGTGGAAAAATAGTAGTTCCATGATGGGATTAAACAGAACGGGTACTTCTTTAACACGTTCTCTGCCACGTCGCTCGTATACGAGTGACACTGTTATTTTGTGATGTACCGTGTCACTCGTGTTTGAGTGACAGCGATTTTTTCTTCAGAGCTCATATGTATGTCGCTCATACTTTCTAAGCTGTTGAACAGTTTTTTTTTTTATCATAGATGATCGTGAAAGTGTTTATTTCTTGAAAATAACTGCAGTTTTTATTTTAGCCCAAAATTTTCATAGAAAATGACAAAAAAATAGTTTAAAGAAAAGCAAAGTATGACATTCTAAAAGTTTGCTTAAAATCATCTGGCAAAGAACATGTTGAACGTGAAAAAGTATTATTTCGCATAAATTCAATTTGGATACAGTGAAAAATCCTAATTCAGAAATTTTAAATATCACTTAGAAATAACTTAAAAAAAAAAATTTTTTTTATTAGCAAAGTATATATTTTAATATTGCATTCAGCTGAATAACGTCGAAGTACTAATAAACTCCAGCGTGAATTCTCTAGTGAACATCATAATTAAAATTTTTCTAAGGAAAACCATGTCCATTTCGAAATTTCCCCCCAAAAAAATCCACATAATCTTGAGATAATAAAAGGCCTAAATATTTCCCCACGAAAAATGAACATTAAGAAACCGATGTACAAATAAGACACTCGAATACCATTTGGATCTTAGTTTTGCAACGCAATTACAGGTAGGAATAATTTAACGTTTCATTTCTTTATTATCGTTTCGTTCGCTTTTTTCTTGTGTTTTCTCTTACTTCTGAATTGGCATTCTTTCCTCGTTGCTGTTGCGTTTGTTTGTGTTCCTGTTTCTCGCACTTGTTTGCATTTCAATTTTTACGTTCAAGCTGGCTGTTTTCATAAATTCAACAAGTTACAATTGATGCATTATGTTTTTTCTTATTTTTTTGGTTTCTCGTATCGACGGCAACGATGTTGGTAAGTATTTCAAATTGAAAGCAACTTTTTTTTGCGGAAAAATCAATCAAATCGCACGGAATTGAAACGAAATACACAGATAGAGCGATGTAAACTGTGAAAACGTGAACAAATAGTGAAACGAATTACTTGCTTGAGTGAAACCTTCCTTTATCAATATTTTCAATTACAGAGTAATTGCCCTGGCGAATGTCAATTACACCGTAGACGTTTATTAGTGATTACTCTCACGATTAAAATAGAAATTTCACTGGCAAAGTTTCGTGCTACTGTTTCATCGAAACGGTAACTGATAAACATTAAACAACTCGATAAGACAACTTTTTCCGTATAAAAAGTATAAAAAATGGAGTAATAATTGTAACATAATAATAAAAACCCTTTTGGAGAGAACTGTACGTCTAACCTGACGTTATTTCGAATATACAGTGACAAAAATCGAGGAAACTTGAATTTTTACTATGCAAAACGGTTTATAAAAATAGTAAAATATGAAGGGAACGAAAATCGTAGAAAAAAAGTGTAAATGCATTAGTTCGTCCTGAAAGTTCCCGCGCTTTTAAGCTACTTATTTAAAAAGAAACATAACTCCGTGAAAATTGAACATTATTTTATTGAAAATAATTTTCGTAATTTTCCAAGTGCGTATAGAACATTATGGAAATTATTTTAAATAAAAATGTTCAATTTTCACGGAGTTTTTTTCTCTTTTAAATGAATAGCTTAAAATCGCGCGAACTTTCAGTAAGACCTAACAGATTGAATAATGACGCTTGAATTCATAACAATATACGACGCTGGCATACATAACAATTGTATCTAAATGTTTGTTCGTAGGAGCGTCGGCAGACAAAGAGCGATACATACATTTTCTAGGACATTTTGGCGTCCGACATGCCTTGTAGGTACATTATATTCTATGAATTACGTCGTATTGCTTAGATTTGTTATCAGTATGGCAATCAAACGTATGCTCACCAGCATATGGATAACGAAGCTCTGTACTGTTTGTAGAAGAAGCTTTGAATATCGTAGCACTTAATCCTTTGCACCTGAAAACACCTGTTTCCCCACTTCACATTCGAGCAACGACATTAACCCTTTCGCTGTCGATTAAAAAGATCAGTATTTTTTTTACGTTTGAAGACACTTCGATCTACCGATAAAAAAATTATCATATGTGAATTTTTCATGTAATTGTTTAGTTATCGATCAATATGTACTTTTTGTGTGATACATCTTAAAACAAGGAATACTCAACAGCGAAAGGGTTGATATACAAGGGAACCCAGCCAAAAATGAATATTTTTCATTTAGAAAGTTGAACGAGTATTGCAACTGAACCTAAATCATTCGTTCACTCGTTGATGAATTCTTGAAATTTCACGACCCTCGCATAATTCAGCATGAAGATTCACACAGAGTGCAACTGGAGGATTGTTTTCGTGGAGAAACTTGGCGGTAAAATCAGAAGAATCATAAATTACACACACTTCGTCCATAAGTTCAAAGCAAAAAGATATTGATCCATTTTGTTATTGAACGATACGAGCTTCGAAAAAATGAATAAACTACGTTCTCCAGGTTTTAAATTTCTCAAGTGTGCTGTCGAATTCAATCTCCAACGATAAGCGATTCGTTTCGAAAAAGTTATATATAAACACACACGACTTCATAATCATTTAATCACCTTCTCACGATTGCGTTGCTATTGCAACTCTCGCGGTTCTATCGATAATCTCCGATCGAAAAGTGGCGCCAATTATTTTACAGAAGTTATATCACGGCACAATAGTGGACAAAATCACAATCTCGCGTCTAAGTGTTGCGAAACGCGTAAACGATCTCGAGTGTGATTAATTCGATAAGCAATTCAACGGTACCACGAAGTTTCACGTGGAATAAGAAGATTTGCAACGTGTACAATCGGATCGTAAGTTCCACCGCGAAAGCAAATATTGAAGAGTGAAAGTGCAAATTTTTGACAATTCACAGATTCGCCTAATAGTGAAATTTCCAACACTTGTAAACGCGTCGTTTATAATTACCCCCCGAAGTTTTCATTTGTAATTAGACTTTCGCCCTGGTAACATACTAAAGCAATCGTTATTCGCCGCGCAAAATTCATTCACATCTCTAACGTGTCGCATAAGTAACTCTGCAGTAACTTGAAAATTGCAAAGCTTCAGAATTAATCACGACTAACCCGAGATTCGTTCATGATCGACTAACAAGTGCGAAGGATTAATAATTTGTCCCTTGATCTTCGTGCAAAGCGACACGCGTACGATTTTGAAGGAAATGAAAAGTTGTCGCGTTGAAATTCTACCGGTGAAGCGCGGAGAAATTTTTTCAGGTGAAAAGGACGGCTCGATTGGGGAAAAAGAACGAGCGAAAAGTTACATGCACTGCCATTCGTGGGTATTAGGACACTTGCTGAATGTCAAGTACACCTGAGATCTACCGAATTCTACTGGAATCTATTGAAATTTAGTGGACTGTGCTGCAGTCCAACGAAATCTACTGATTTCTGTTAAAATCTACTGTATGCTACTATTGTCTATTGAAATTGTTTGAAGCCTAAGGCGTCTAAAAATAGGTGAAGTTTTGGAATTTTTTTCATAGATAACTATTAACTGAACTGATTTAATTTTTTTAGAGGATACAAATGTAACTTTCAACTTTCTTCTCCAATTTTTTAGAAGTAAAAATGTTGCCAAGTGGAAGAGTTACTAGCTAATTGCGAAGCCCCTTGTTATCGCCATCGCTGGCGGCACAATTTTCTTCGCGATTTCCACAAATTGCAATATTTTCCAAATTTTTCGTACACGCCATCTAGCACACTAATCCTTCTAATTTCTTCAAAAAGCTCAAGTCGTTAGGTCTAATGTTAAAAAAGTTATAATATTCTAAATAGTGTCTAAATATTAGTGGAAGTCACTGTACACATATTTCCACTGAAATACAACTCTAACTTTACCGAAGAAATACACTTCCTACACAAACAGAACAGGTGTCCTAATATTTCTGAGCGGCAGTGTACACGGCGCCGCGTTTCCGGTGGTGCGATTCAACATCCATCGCAGCATCCGTCGCAGCGGGTCGAAAGAAACCCCGTTGCGAAGGGGGGACGGTGGTAAATGTTGGTAGAATTTTCGCCAAATTTCGAGT